TTTTTATAGACAATGTCTTCGAATCAGCTGTGGTAGTCGAGAACAGCAGAGGACCGCCGCCCACTGTACAACCAGCTCTTGTTGAACCTGGACAGCAGTGTCCCATGTGTCAAATATTTTTCCCACCCAACTGTTCACAACGTGATTTTACACAACATGTCAATTCACACTTTAAAGATTGAGTGGGTGTCACGTAATGTATTAATATACTGTTGTGTTACAAAGCACCACGTACGTTCTGCTCTTTTATATACATGTATTACTAGATATTGAGCTTTAGTGGGTCTTCAATGGAACACAATTTTCAATGTCACTTAGCTCGTACCAACGTGCGTTAGGTGCGAGAGTGTTTATTATCGCAAAAAAACACCTGTAAAGGAACTTCTGTTGATTTATATTTCCATGCTCCATTACTTAATATTTTTTAATAAAGAAAAGCACCAAAAATTTCATAATTTTGGCATAATATAATTTATGTAGAATCAGGGTTTATGTACAATCAGGTTCTATATACTTAGTCCATGGCTGCAGAAGTTGACGATTCACGCGCCATTATGGAGCGATGGAAAATATTCTGCAAGATCCTAGCCACAAATTCAAATTTACATGCCAAAATGTGTACACTTCAAAAGTTTAAATTGAAATTTCTGAACATACAACTGAAATCAAGTGCAAAACCATGTGGATGGAGTGGAAGCACTTATCGCCTATTATTTAATATGGAGCTGTTTACTTGATCCCGGTGCTGGGACGGGTTGGAATCATGGGAGGCAGGATGATTTTGACACATTGAAATAAATACTAGGCTTGAACGAAAGTTCAAACGTGGGTTAAAATAACTCAAACGTTGTCGAGAATATCTCGTAGTTCAAGAAGATTATCATTGCTGCTTGAGCAAGCTTTCGTTCCCAATTATGCTCTAATCTTTAACTAGGAAAATAATGAAGTTTTGCTGAATCGTACACCGTGACTTCAATACATCAAAATTATCTCACCTCACATATCGTATCGGCACAGAGGATCATGTAAGCAGCCCCTAATTGGGGAGAATATCTCTCATTCCCAAACATTTTCAAAAAATTAATTGGCTAAAAATCATTTAAGCCAAATGAAAAAGGTATTAGGGTTTGGATCTGCCTGATTTTCCATTCCTAACTTTGGTCCACTTAGTGGTCTCCACATCGCCATGCCTACCTCCGTTCGGAAGATAGGCTACCTCTACAAAACGTAAAGCTACAGGCATGGAATTCACACTTAGTTAAGGATCTGCATTTTAAATATTGCGACACGGGGAATGATTGACTGACTGTATGATGTCACGACGCTCATTGTGTGTCTGTAATTTCCCGTTGAGATTTTTGCTTTTGTAATCAAAATTAAGTATATCCAAGAATGGAAAATAATCTACAGAGAAGATAGTTTCCACTTTCACGAGTTCGTTTAAGACACATGTATCTCATAAACAGCTTCGTTTGATAATGATGAACTTTAATAATATATATATATATACAGCAGTACAGTACATACTGCAATTATGATTAGATATATAGACACAACATTAATCCGTATATGGTTTACAAGCATTTGTAGACACCAACGACATGTAAAAGTAATTTGTGGAAAACTCCAAAACAAATTCTGACAAGTTTTAGGTTTACAACCGCGGTGAAAAGATGGAATGCGCGCTTGTGCGAAAGCCGGGTAGCACTATCCAGCGGACAGTTTTTTCAACCTTTGTAAAGATGGTTGAAAAGCTTTAAAACTACTTCACAATTAATAGAAAGAAACTTTAATTTATTAATAGTAAAGTTTAATCCGGGTTATACAATTTTTAGAACGCTCGAAAAACCGCTATCCTGTGGATAGCGCTATCCAGCTGTGATTACGTGGGTAAAATATAGCCGGGGTTAATCCCATAGTGAACAAATCTACATAATGCATTTATTTTAAGTGGTATTAATTTGGGTAAAAAACGAATATATAACTGACAATGGGTCAAGGTAATGTAAAGCTGTGCTTTAACTTCGTATCTGTTCTATTGCAATTACGAGCTCTCCAATATCTTCGAGTCAGCTGTGATAGTCGAGACTAGCCTCTCCCTTAGGGTGGTCGACAAAAAATAAATCGCCAGTTGGCCCCAGACCTTTATTCTGGTTTATTTTAGATGTAATTTTGAGTTAGGGTTGGTTTAAATTTGAGTACGAGTTCAGGCTCGATTTCTATATGGAGCTCGTCTTGTGAGTGGACGAAAAATTTGATTTGACATTTTAATTGGCAAGCACTCGCTTGCACTTAGAATGGATCTAAACTTAGCAATTAACACTCAAAGCTCATTTTTCAAAGTTCCAAAGTTTACCAGCCAGCGTTGCAATATTTTGACCCATTTCATGTAGTCGATAATAGCGATTTTATGTATATACCTTTAAGTATTTCTTGTAACGTTGTAGTGCACTGATTTTCAGAAAAACGTGTAGAGATAAATATAACTCAACAATTAACTATACGTGTGGCATTGATTTCATCTCTATTCAGCCTTTTAAGTGGCTGTCTCACTAAGAACCATGCAGAGAGTTTCAAGTTGAAAATTAGATTTCCTTTATATTTTTACCATGAACTACCTTTGTCCTAAAAGGTATTAAACTAAGATTAGAATTTCTAAATTTTTCTTTTTTTTTGAGTTATGACGAATTTTTGTCTAGACGTCAGCGACTCTGAAATTTGACCCAGAAAACGGCGGTCAATTGTGTGTTAAATTGTGCATCATAACTCAGAAAGTTTCGCGTCAAATTAAAAACTTTTTTCAGCGTAGTGAGACATATTCTTCTTCTTTTAGAATTATGAAAGTATTTCAATGTACATCTTATTTTAAGCCTACTACTCTCCATTCAAGGAAGTCGGTATTTTCGTTCGCCGAACAACTAATGATTAGGTACAAAATTCAAACTAAAAATTCTCAAAAGTGCAACCTACTTGGTGTCTAAAACACTTTTAGGGTTAAAGTAGAATACTTGAAGTTATGTTATTCGCAATAAAACTTGTCGGCAAAAGGAATATGAAGGAGTGCAAGATTCATAAATTATGGCTATAAATAGCTCTATTGTTTACCTTTGTGATAACCGGAAACACGTTCAGTGTTGCTCGCGGAGCTTTTATAGCGACTAATATATTGCACAATATCATTGTATTTAACTCAGAAAAGTTTAATTCGATCGATGAAATGCGACGGATCGATCTTTGAGGTCTAAAACGGTTAGAAGAAATAAATTCGTCTAGGACGTTGTAGCCTATCCCTCATGACCGGACAAGTAGAATGTCAATGTCAAAAATGTATCGGTTGCCGTAACGTCGCATCGAATTAATAAATCCATGAACTTGTTATTATGTTCTGTTAAAAGTTTTCCGCATTGCCCATTTGGCAGAATTTTTGTCCCATCATGCAAACCATTCAATTCGTCGTATACTGAGATCTGTCCTTTATCTTCACTTTAATCTATACAGCAATAATAATAATAATATTACAGTATTTTGCAGTTAATCCCCATGCATTCTATGAATAACTTAGGGTTAAAGTAAAATACTTGAAGTTCTGTTATTCGCAATAAAACTTGTCGCAAAAGGAATATGAAGGAGTACAAAATTCATAAATTATGGCTATAAATGGCTCTATTGTTTACCTTTGTGATAACCGGAACCACGTTCAGCGTTTCTCGTGGAGCTTTTATAAATTTATATTAGCAATTATTATAAATATAAAATAGTGTTTATAAGTTCTTATATTTGAATACAAACACCGCCTTGTAATTTTTTAAGCTTTCGGGAAGCCTTTACAATTGGTCGTTTTAAACTTGATTAAAATCACTAAATTGGTGCACGCCAACATAATGTACAATATATTATCGTTGTTTAATATGTCTGATGAGTGTGCCATAAATAGAATACACGCTATATTACGAAAGCAACAACTTAACTTTATAGTTAACTTGCTACCTGGATAGTTATTTTTCGCGTGTTACGTTAATTCTTCAACAAACAATTTAATCTTGCAAATGTAATCTTTAATCAAACGTTCGGGAGTTGTCGAAAAAATTTCGAGGTAGATTACGTTTGCAGCCAAATTTTAAGTTTCTCTAATTTATAAAATAATAATAAAAAAAGCACAAAGACAAATGCTTGTGGACCACTTGTGGAAAATGTTTGCTGAGATAGACGTATGCCGTCCTATATATCACGACGCGTATGATTTATGTGACATGTACAAACAGAACTGAGAGCCTATGGCCCGGTTTAGACGGCGAACTTTTCATGCGCCGAATCTAATTGCCGTAGATACGGCAAAATATTGGAAACTGATTTAGACGTAAAACTTAATTGTGCCGTACCAAATTGCGAGGACACTATATTGGACATATTTACAATGCAAATATATGGTAATCATATTATGATGTTAAAAAATAATTATGCCATTAGGTTCGGCGCATGAAAAGCACGGTGTCTAAATCAATGTCGAACTTGTGTCGCATATACGACTTGTCTTGTCGCATCTTGGAGTCGTGTCGAACTTAATCAAAACCTGTCGAACTTAATTGATTTAGACACCGTCCCAGCGTCGCACTTAATCCTTACATTAGATTCGGCGCATGAAAAGTTCGCCGTCTAAACCGGGCCTATATCTGTTTTTAAAATAACGATGCTGAAAGAAAATTTGTGCGCATTTTGAACTTCAGTTCAAATCAAATGATAAAAAACAGATTCTCATAGATAAAATATCATCCGTGATTGGACAATGCACATGTTTCCAAATAAATAACTAAATTGTGCAGGTGCGGACAAATACTCCCAGACTAACTTGGACATGTCGAGAGATGTCATTGTTCTTGGTCCGCGAGTGTGAGGAGCCTGGAACAGTATCGTTAACCCAAATCAAGTATCAAAAACGCCGCATACAAACTACGATGTTATGTATTTTTATTGCTATAATTTATACTACTATATATTATGAGACAAATCAAATGTTGCCGAAAAATACCAATTGAAGTTGAAAGTTATTCACAGAATGGCGATTAGCTGCAAACTACTGTAAGATTATTATTATTGCTGTATAGATTAAAGATAAAGGACAGATCTCAGTATACGTCGCAGTTTATACGATGAATTGAATGGTTTGCATGATAGGACAAAAATTCTGCCAAATAGGCAATGCGGAAAACTTTTAACAGAACATAATAACAAGTTCATGGATTTATTAATTCGATGTGACTTTACGGCAACACACATTTTCGATATTGGCATTGTACCCGCCCGGTCATGAGGGATAGGCTACAGCGTCCTAGACGAATTTTTTTCTTCTAACCGTTTTAGACCTCAAAGATCGATCCGTCGCATTTCATCGATTTAATTAAACTTTTCTGAGTTAAATACAATGATATTGTGCAATATATTAGTCGCTATAAAAATTCCGCGAGCAACATTGAACGTGTTTCCGATTATCACAAAGGTAAACAATAGAGCTATTTATAGCCATAATTTATGAATCTTGCACTCCTTCATATTCTTTTTGCCGACAAGTTTTATTGCAAATAACATAACTTCAATTATTCTACTTTAACCCTAAAAATGTTTTAGACACCAAGTAGGTTGCACTTTTGAGAATTTTTAGTTTGAATTTTGTACCTAATCATTAGTTGTGCGGCGAACGAAAATACCGACTTCCTTGGATGGAGAGTAGCAGGCTTAAAATAAGATGTACATTCGAATTCTTTCAACATTCTAAAAGAAGAAGAATATGTCTCAATACTCTGAAAAAAGTTTTTAATTTGACGGGAAACTTTCCGAGTTATGATGCACAATTTAACACATATTTGACCGCCGTTTTCGGGGTCAAATTTCAGTGTCGCTGACGTCCAGACAAAAATTCGTCATAACTCAAAAAAAAAGAAAAATTTAGAAATTCTAATCTTAGTTTAATACCTTTAAGGACAAAGGTAGTTCATGGTAAAAATATAAAGGAAATCTAATTTCCAACTTGAAACGCTCTGCATGGTTCTTAGTGAGACAGCCACTTTTAAGTGACAACACATGATGTAGCGTTATATTTTCACTTCTCCAATTTTCAGTGGCAAATGTTACAGCTAAATTAAAGTAAACACGGCGCTAATGCCTTCAACATTTCTAAAAAGGAAGGAAGTATGCAGCTTTCGCTTCCGCGATGATATAATTCGCGCTGGGGAGGGCAGGAACTAAGAAGGCCTGCAGGCCAAATTCTGCCATTTTTGGAACTATTTTTGGCTTTCGAGCGGCTCTAGCCTAGGTTCTACATATTTACATCGAGGTTTTTGTGTAACCTATGATTTATATATGGTTTACAGGTATTATTTTTACGACCATAAAGGTCCAGACGCGATTCGACAACGCGGCGCGATTTTTCGATTTTCACTGGCCGATAAGTTTGATCCTAGTTTAAATTTTCCAAATATTTAGAAGCGCTATAAACAGTTTGAGTTATTTGACCTACATATCTTGTAAAATTTGGTCTCATTGGCTGTTTTATTAACTTTCAAAAACTGAAATGTCGCGTTGTCGAATCGCTTCCGGTGTGTCTGGTGCTTTACGTACTATTTAAAAAACGAGCAGGAGTGTTTTATTAGGTTTAAAGCCACGAGCGCGAGTGGCTTTAGACCTAATAAAACACGATCTGCGAGTTTTTTAAATGACTTCAAAAACATTTGCATAATAAGTCAAATCTTTATATAAAAATCTTTATATAGTTTGCATAACAATGGTCTTTTGTTAAAGTGTTCTTTAGCTGGTATAAAGACGTATGCACGTGACTAATTTCTTACTCAAGATTGGATAATTGCTTCATGAATTATTAATGAGTTTTTGAAGACCATATGGAAACCAGACTTTACACACGCGACAACATTCGTTTTGTACGGTGGCCCATACGGGCCAACCCTTCTCCGTAGAAACTTGCACCTTCTCCCTACAAATGTGTTGTTATTCCATGGAAATCAAACTCCGTGGAATATTGCCGTTATTCTGTCACGGAAAGCCTTTTCTCCGTAGAAATACGCAGTTTCTCCGTGGAAACACGCATCTCCGTGGAAGCACGCAGCTTTTCTGTGGAAACACCGCAGCTTCTTCGCGGAAACGCGTAGCATTTATGTGAAACACGATGCGGTGGCCCGAACGGGGCACCTCTTCTCCGCAGAAACATGCAGCTTCTCCGTAGAAACACGTGCCTTCTCCGTGGATGAGCACTTTCCTTGTGAATTAAAAAAGGCACGCCCCCTGAATATTTATTGGTTTTATACGAGGGGGGGGGGGAGAGAAAATAAAGTCACAAGTCAACATCGTGGTCAAAACATTACAAGCCAATTTTATAAATATGATTTTATATGCTGGATATCTGTGCCCATATTAAAGCATTCATATTTATAAAATTGGCTTGTAATGTTTTGACCACGTTGTTGACTTGTGACTTTATTTTCTCTTCCCCCCCCCCCCCCCGTCGTATAAAACCAATAAATATTCAGGGGGGCGTGCCTTTTTTAATTCACAAGGAAAG